ACTTTTGGGCAATCATAGAACTGCTGAGAATATGGGGACTCTTGGCAATAGAATTAATGTATTTTGCATTACAAGACAACCTTTTGAGGGACAGAGGTAGAATGTTATGGTTTCCCCCAAAACCTCATGTGTGAGACAATGCAAGAAAGCTTAGAAGTTAAATGTTTGGGTCATGAGAGCCTTAATGCAATCATTCAATTAATTCCCAGATAAGGATTAACAGAGTGGTAACTGGAGGCAGGCAGGCTGTGGGAGGAGGAAATAGGTCATTGTGGGGATGAGCCTTTGGGATATACATTTTGTATCTGGTGAGTGGAGTCTCTCTACTGCCTGGTGTGATGTCTTTAGCCAATTCCCTCTAGCACCCTCTTCTGCCAAGATTTTCAAGCCTCACCTCAAGTCCTGAGAAATGGAGCTAGCTCTCTAGAGACTGAGACCTCTGAAACCATGATTTTTTTTTCCTCCTCTAATTGTTCTTGTCAGGTCATTTAGTCACAGAAGTAAAAAAGCTGAATAAAACAAATATTGACTCTAATACTGTATACTGGACTTGGAAAGTCACCTCACCACTATGATCCTCAGTCTGCTCTTCTGTGAAATGAAAGTACTCAACTAGATCTTTTTTAAAAAAAATCTATAAAAATTATTTATATATTTATGTGGTGCTGAGGATTGAACCCAGTGCCTCACATGTGCTATGCAAGTGCTCTACAACTAAGTCACAAATTCAGCCCTGAACTAGATATTTAATATACTCGAGATCTTTAAGTACCTCTAACTTTATTATAAATCTGTTCTACAAAGACACAGGACATCTATACTGAGAATACTATACAAAAATAACTGGACTCACTTAAAATTATCATTATTATAGTTTTCACTTTTGTTTCAGTTTATAAAGTAAAAAAAAAAAAATTCCTTGTTTCATCTGTTCCTTAACTACAATTATCCCAAGACGCTAAACTACCATTCTTCAAACCTTCTGGGTAGATAAATGGAATTGGAACTGGCCATTCCACTCCTATTCCCCAAAATGTTTATCTCACAATGCAAAATACACTTAGTCTATTTCCAAACTCTCTGGGAAGACTATGAAATTCAACATATTATTCTTTTCTCCCATCTGGTGTGACTAACCACAATTTGTAAAACTCGTAGTAACTTCCTCCATTCATGAACTTCAACAAAAATATCATAATTTACTAACACTGTTTTCTAGTTCTAGTTTAGAACAAATTAAAAATTAATTTTGTTTATACCAAAATTCTGCTTGAAATAACATATAGTTAATCCAACACATATTAATTTCTATTTAAATCAAACCTTAATCTGGTACTTCTCATGGTTCAAATGTCTAAATTGGATTCTGTTCTACAAAGAAATATTTTTTGTTAGAACTGTGTGGTAGCAGATCTCTCATCTGAGGTGGTAGTAATTTAACATTCAACAGAATAAGTAAGAATATGCATTTCAAAACTAAAAACCTGAATTATTCACATCTTATAAATTGTCTGATTATTTGTCTGCCCATTGAGTTAGAATTCATGAGATCTTATTGTGGCATCTTACTTTTGTGTTATAGTAAATGGAAAGGGACAATGATGATATAACTTCAGGTAGTAGAATAGGAGCTCTAATGATTTGCGTTTGCTTGTCTTTTAAAATTGTGTAATATTTCCATAAATGACAATAGATAAACAAGAGACAACAGATATCTCAGTCTCACCCATCTTTTCTGATACCTGTAAAACATTTTTAATACTGCACAACTCCAAACCAATTACCATATTTAATATGGTTCTACTTCTTAAGAGAGTCAACCAGCTTTTTATGACAAGGAATTTTCCTTGATATCTTTGTTTGATTGGTAGTGAATAAGGAATAAATAAGCCATACATCATTTAAGTATATAAAACCCAGAGTTTCATTGTCTCCCACTTAAGTTTTGAAGTAGAATTCTTTACTCAACAAATACAAATATAACTCTAGAGTGGAAATAGGTATTAATCATTGCTTCTGTGCATTCCATCTAACTGTTGTAGTATCTGAAAATACTTCCTTTTCCCATTGGCCTATCCAAATATTTTAAGTCTGACCTTTTCCATGAAACTTTGAGCATTCTAGTCAATACTGCATTTATAATTTAGAGGCAGTGATTCAAAGTTATCACTTGAATGTTCTTTAATAATTCAGTATATGCTAGTTTGAGTTCTATAACCAAACTGTATCTTCCTTGAGGATTCATAACTTATATTTCTTTTTCATACAAATTGAAGAAAAATGGAAGTTATCTAAAACTGTGAATTAACTGAATAAAAGGTGTCCACAGACCATAATGACATTAGTATAAAAACATATGGAGAATCTTTCCTCAAAGAACTTCCTAGAAAGAAATTAAATCCAACAGTTCTGCTTCATACATAAAGGTAAACTATTGGTTATAATAAAATCTATGTATTCTCTTGAGAAGTGTGTAATCTCAATTCTTCCTATAATTTCAAGACTCAAAATAGATACTTCTGGTCCATTTTAGAGAAGAAAGATATTTTTAAAAGATATTTCTATAATTTTATCACTAAAATATTTCATATAATTAAAATAGTTAACAGGACATGTTTCCTGGTGTTACAAGTTCTTGTTTTTTCCTTATTTTTAACTTTTTTAATGAATTTTTTTAGTTGTCAATGGACCTTTTATTTTATTTAGGTCCTGCTTAGAATTGAAGCCAGTGCCTCATGCATGCTACGTAAGCACTCTACCACTCAGCCACAACCTTAGCCCCTCTTCCTTTTATTTTTAAAGCAATTTACAATATAAATAGTCTTCTGTTTTTGAGAGGATATATTTCCCTTAAAAATAAATCTAATATGGTATGCTAACAAATTTAATAAATAAAATTACAGGATCATTAGTTAAGTAGCTTTTAATTATACTATCCATAAAAATATCAGCCATTAAATTGGAAATAATGTTAGCACCAAAACTGATCAAATTTTATCACTATTAGCTCAAACACATTTAAAGTTGGGTAGTATTTTATACTTATAATTTTGTTTGAAGTTGATTCAGGCTTAGTTACTTTTATCAAAAGTATTTAATATATTTAAAATAAAGACTGTTAATTGTATTGAAAAGGAATTTCTGATTTTAGAAAGATTCACATAAAGAAAAGGATGATTTTAGAAGATATGGTTGGCTGTTGAAAATAAACTAAGAGTTTCTTTTCTAAGTCATTTGTCTCTTCTAAAATTATTTCTCAAATAATTGCACATTTCTCCCAATTACAGAGATGTAACTGAATATGAAGGTAGCTCTCTGAATGAAAAGTATAGTTCTAATTTTAAAAGTGATAATAAAATCTCATCAATATTAAAGGTATACAATTTTTCAATTATTTGAAAGAAACTCTATTGGTTCCAGGGGTCAAAAGTCATATAAGAAATAAAATGAACTGGAGTTCTAAGGAAGGTTATAAGTTAACTGAAGATATAAGGCACATATATAAAAGGTAATAATAATTTATGTGAGAAAGTTTTCTAAAGTATACCACACAGATTGTACCATTCTGAATGTCTGACACCAGATTTCTAGATGACACCTTGTTAGAAGTTTTTAAAGTGTTTACTAAATATCAAGAAGTTTGATATCTGAGTATTAATGTACCCATGCATATGGTCTGATCCCTCTTTGCATAATATAAAAACTATTAATATTAACTAAATCTTCACCTTAATTGGACTGTTTGCTACAAATTCCAATAGACCCTATTCTGAGTCTAAAGTACAGAAACTATGTTGAACTTGCATTTACCTGGTGAAGTTGACTTTAAAAGTTAACTTTACAAAGAGTTGTACTAAGGATAAGTAAGTAAATTAGTAAAAAAAGAAAACAAAATTTAAAGCATGAGCTAATCCCCACAAAAACAAAGGTTGACTATTTCACTGATATGTGAATGTTAACCAACAATAAGTAGGGGGAGAACAGAAGTTCAGTGGAATAAACAATAAGGTTTAAAGGGAAAGTGGGGGATGAGAAAATGAAGGGAGTGGAATGAATCTGACATAACTTTCCTATATACATACATGAATGTACTACAGAGAATCTCACCGTCAAGTACATTCACAAGAAATTACTTTAAAAATAACTATAGGTAAAAGGCACAAAGATCAATAGAGGGAAGGGAGCAGTGGGTGGAGAAAGGCAAGGAGAAGGAGAGGTACTGAGGTCTGAACTAGAACATGATATATGCTATGCTTTCATTATTATTATATTGAAATGAATTCTACTGTCATGTACAACTAAAAAGAAACAATAAAACAAATTAAACAATGTTAAAAAAAGAAAATTAAAGAATGACTAACAAGAAAGAAGAAAGAAAAGTAACCTAGAAATACTACTGGTTTAAACAAAACAAAGAAAAAACGTATATTTCTATGCTTGTAAAATACATGACTATAGCTTTCCCCCCTACTTTCTGACATTGAACAATGGTTCACTAAAACCATACTTCACTAGGGAATGAAATCTATCAATTTGCACTGTATCCATTCACAAATATACCACAATAAATTCCACTTATGTATAATTATCATGTACTAGTTAAAAAACTTTAAAAAGCAATAAAGGGATATCATAGAATAGAGCAAACAGATCAGGGGATGGAGAAGTTGAGCAAAAGGGAAGGTACTAGAGAATGAGAATGATCACATTATGTTATGTGCATGTGTATGAATATGGCATAATGTATCCCATTATTATGTATATTTATACTGCACCAAAAATGTAGTTTATTTATTAATGCAATTGTCAAAAGTAATTTTCAAGATGATCTTTTCTACTCTGTTCATATATACATTTTAAATGATGAATTACCTGGAGGCTGAAATTTTAACAAATAAATCCTAATTCACACCAACCTAATGTACGATCTTTAAGTTAAATAATCCATCTTTAACCCTCTTTTTTTATAAATCTATGTCTTGTTAAACTTTTTACATTACCTCCTGTTAATGAAACTTCAGTTAGACTTGAAGTACTGGATGATTTCTTTTTATCAAGAATTAAATCTGAAAAAATGAAGTAACAGAAAATTATTAACTTCTATGGTGTCTGGATCACTGCCTGGTCATGAATAAACTTCAACTTAGTTATCAATTTAGAAATGGGCTAGGTGAATTCAGTTACCATAGATATTCAACTAATATATACAAACTTTGTTTTTAAAGAGAGTGTGGGAAAGAGAGAGAATTTTTTAATATTTATTTTTCAGTTCTCGGCGGACACAACAACTTTGTATGTGGTGCTGAGGATTGAACCCGGGCCGCACGCATGCCAGGCGAGTGCGCTACCGCTTGAGCCACATCCCCAGCCCTATATACAAACTTTTGTGAAATAAAATTTTAAACTTTTCTTGGCAAAATATGGAATTTGAGATATTTTGTGTTCAAGTGATCAACTCAATGAAAGTTTGTGTGAAAAATCTGATAAATACTATTTGAATAAGTTGCTTTTTCATCTAGATCCAGAAGCACCTATGGTTGGCTTCTCATAGATCCACATTTTTCTCATAAATTGTTAGTTTAAATCTGTTTTTAATTAAATGTAATTTATTTAGGTATTATTGTGTATGAAATCATATATATATATAACTTAATTATTTATTCCATACCTTCACATGACTTTCCCCAATATTCATTTTAGAAAAGAATTACATAAATGTAACTTTCATTACACCTCTGTGACAGCTGGTCAAAAACAGTTTTTAAAATCATGAGGTTTGGAAAGGATGAAACATTTGTGATCAACAGGTGATCAACAGGTTATCCAAATCAAATATGCCATTAACCTGATATACTTACACTTTGTAGACCTTTGCCTGATATATTGATTTTCTCTTATAGATAGTCTTTCCTTGTTACCGAGCAACTTCATATTAAAGCCATTCTGGATCAGACCCATAGTCCATCCTGCTCAGTATTCTGTTTATGATATATCTGTTATGTTGTACTGAGCACACAGTAGGCAATAAATATTTCATTGAACTGTACTTGAAATAAGCATGTCTGTCTGACTTCTAAAGCACCAATTCCAAATAAAAGTCAGCTCTTCCATAAAATGCATGCAAATTTTAACTCCTTTCTGAACTTTCATTTTCAGTATATAAAACCTTTTAACATATAAAATAGTACTTTTTATTTATCATAAAATAGCTATTTCTATCTTATGTCCCAATAATTCTACTTCCAGTTTATACCTTAAATGATTTTTGCAAATGTGCACAGTGAAACACATGGAACACTGCATTTCTATAGCATTATAGCATTTCTTGCAAATGAAATATATTAAAGATAACTAAATATTCATAAAGAGGGTAATAGATAATAAAACTTGCCATATTGACGTGTTAGCTTATTCTCTACATAAATGTAGACACTAGGTTAGATCTCAAAAACAATGCTGAACAAAAAGTATGGAACCTAGATGTATACTAAGTGTAATAACTGTATATTTCAAAATACATGTTAAATATTATATATTATTAATTGAAGCATATTTATGTATATAAAGGGACACCTGAAACCTCATGAAAGTAGCTGTCTCAGAAGAAAAGGATCCAAGAATAAGACAAGTGAGTGTGGCCTTTGACTACACTTAGACTTCAACCTCATCTTTACTGTTCTTTTTAAAATGAAAGGACTTAAACCAAGGATGACAATATTAAGTGTTGTAAATTCTTTAAAAAGATGGAAACATGGTAGTCTAATATGTTATTATATTTTAAGAACTTCTTATAAAATATTTATGATAAAACTACAAAGAGAATCATGTAATATTGAGAGAATATGTGATTAAACTTATTTAAAAATTTTTAAAAAATGAGTTTGTCTTTCAGAGTAGTCTGAGGCAAAAGATCACCTATTCTAAGCTGCCAAGATCACAGGAGAAAATTCATATTTACTCTATCATAAACTATATGATTTTACATACTATGATTTGATCAACTTTTGCCTATTGTGATCATGCAAAAGATTAAACAATCTTTAATAATCTATTCTGACCAAAGCCCTACTGGCACTTGTTTTTATTGCCTTTCCCTGGCTCCTTTTTAAACATTAATTCTTTCTCAATGAATAATGGAGAAATTCCTCAATTTTTCTAAGCACTAAGCTTATTTTTGTGTTACTATGGTTATCTCTTTTCATTTCTCATGATGCTTACCTCTTTGTTGATTTTTTTGCTACAGAGGCAATTATCATTTCTGAGATTGTCTTCTTTAAATATTCTAACTTTACATAATGATTTAATTAATCACAGAAAAACTATCAAATAAATATTATCCTTGTTCTTGAAAATGAGGAAGTCAAACCAAAAGACATTGAATACACTGTATAAGATTATCAGTTATTTAATAAAGGAACCAGAAATTCAAATCTAGCTTTGAATAACTCCAAATGCCCTATTCCTTCCATTATTTCCAAATTAAAAAGAAAAACAAAATCACAATGATTTTAAAATAACTTTCATGGATTCCCATTTTACCAACCATAGTAAAATAGTTCAGAAATTAGGGATTATACTGTTGTTTGTTCTTATTGTGATTATGTCTACTGCTATTAACCATTTTGTTGGTTTAATATAAAGGCAGTGTTTAATGGTTCCAGAGCAAGATTGTGGTTCTTCCCTGGAAGCAATTTTGTATTCTGGAGGATATTAGACAATATCTAGAGACAGATTTGCTTGTTACAATTAGAGTAGGTAGGTTCTTACAGATATGTAGGTGGTAGAGGTCAAGGATTTTACTAAATATTCTACACAGCACAGGACAGCCCCTTCAAACAAAGAACAGTTCAGTCCAAAATGTCTGAAGTATTTTAGAAAACCTGTTCTAGAGGTAAGATTTAAGGACTACATTATAGAATAATAATATTAAAAAATCACAGAATGTATGTAACTGACACAGTGAACTCAAAAATTATGAAGCATGCTAGCCTTTCTTCTAACTATGGGAATAACTTTGACATAATTTTGACTTGAGTCTCCAGAACTGATTAATCTAGGCTGAAGTGTGGTAAACTTATAAGAAAGTGACAATAAACAAAAGCAGCATCTGTATTTAAATGTATAGGTTCAATGTCCAGTAAAATGGATGAGGGACAGAGTAGTGGTCTTTTAAAGCATATATATTTTATTTTACCTTGTGTTCATCTGTGTTGATAAAAGTCTTTGCCTTTTCTTTCCTTAAGCGTTTTCTTCAAATGCCTCCTAGATGGTAAAATAATAAAGATAATGAAAATCTATATTCAAAAATTTTTTAAATGGCTAAGATTGGCCTCAAACTTTTGATTCTCCTGCCTCAGTCTCCTGAGTCACTGGGATTGCATGTTTGGGTCACCACATCCAATTACAATTCATATATCTAAAAAATGGATCCTTCAAAGTATAAATAGGTGAAAGGTAGCATAATTGAGTTTCTAAACATGTGACTGATATAGCTTTAAACTTTGATATTTAAAGTTAACCAGGCCCCAAAAGAACCTAAGCATGAAAGGAGAAAAAAGGTGCCTCCCTATTTAGGTGAAACAGCATAAGAAGGTATTCCCAAATCTGGAGAAAGGAAGAAACAAAAACAAGATCTGAGATAACTCAAAGCAGTAAGATATATGAATAAAAATAACAATGACTGAATAATAGTGCCTAAGGTGAAAGAGTAAAATTATATGTTTTTTTAATGTTTTACTTTTTAGTTGTAGTTGGACACAATACCTTTATTTTATTTATTTATTTTTATGTGGTGCTGATGATCAAACCCAGGGCCACACATACTAGGTGAGTGCTTTGCCACTGAGCCACAACTCCAACACTAAAATTATATTTTTAAAGATAACATTTGGTTTTTATTAAACTTACCATTAATAATTACTATGGTAAAATAAGTATATTCAGATTTTATCCTAACATGTTTATGGAATTAAAATAAGTTTTTGATCTTAAGTGTTTATTCAAACTGTCTATTTAATTAACACTAATACATTCTTAGAAGAAAAATTAATCTGGTAACAACCTAAATGTTCATCATCAGGAGAATGATAGAATACAGTGGAATACTCAGAGCAGTGAAAATGACTGAACCCAATGACACACTAAAACAAAATTGAGGGACATTATGATGAGTTACAAAAGCTGACAGAAGAAAAGATGTATTACTTCATTTATACAGAAATATTTAAAAATGCAACCTAAATATTATATGTATAAATACAAATACTCTGGCAAAACTATAAAGAAAAGCAATGAGGTTGTTGGGCATGGTGGCCCACACCTATAATCCCAGCAGCTCGGGAGGCTGAGACAAGGGGATCTCAAGTTCAAAGCCAGCCTCAGAAAAAAGCGAGGTGCTAACCAACTTAGTGAGACCTTGTCTCTAAATAAAACACAAAATATGGATGGGGATGTGGCTCAGTAGTCCAGTGCCCCTGAGTTCAATTCCCTGTACTGCCCCCCACTCACAATAAAAAAAGCAATCAGTTTATACATAAAATCAATACAAAGGCAGTCAGATGAGGAAAGATGTACACAAGGAATTGACAGAAATCAGATCTTAGGCAACAAGGGTGTATCTGCTATGTTATCTTTGTTTATTCTGTGCACACATTTTACGAAAGTTTTTTATAGGTATTCATTGATAAAACAACTAAATTTTATAGTCTTTTATATTTTTTCCATAATAAAAATGTTGTATAACAGATATCCACTCCTTGATTTCAACAGCAGCAGTTATAATACATATTTACTTCATATAGTTCTATTAGTGTGCCTAAGTTAACATTTTTCAAATAAAGGTGTAAGACATCAAATATTCAAGAAAAATATGAAGGTAATTTTTGGAATCAAAATTAATACAGAATTCATAAAAATAAAACAATCTTTTAAATTATTAGTACAGGTTATTATAATTTCTAAGATGGACGTTAACAACAAATACCCATAAATATATTCAGACCTAAATTTTTCTTTAAAAAAGATATTCTAAGGATATGTCTCTTATAAAATTCTACAATTTGCAAGGAAAATCATAAATATTTTTAAAAGGCTTACTTTTATATGTTGCCTAATACATATAACACTAAGAATGAAATATTAATATACATAAAACACGGAAATGCTTAACTTGGAGCAGATTGTTCCAGTCTATATGTGGATTATTCATAAAGAGCTTGTGAAAAAATACTAAGCCACTGCAGGGTGTGGTGATTCACATCTGTAATCCCAACAGCTCAGGAGGTGAAGGAAGGAGGATCACGGGTTCAAAGGCAGCCTCAGCAATTAGCTAAGCAACTCAGTGAGACCCTGTCTCTAAATAAAATATAAAATAGGGATGAGGATGTGGCTCAGTGGTTGAGCCCCCCTGAGTTCAATCCCTGGTACTATCCTCTCCAAAAAATGAAAATCAATAAATAGATAGATAAAAAAAATTAAAAATAAATAAATAAATAGATAGATAGATAGATACTAGGTCTCTGAGGATCTTTAAAAATTTCTTTTAAACTTTATGCCAAAAACAAGTTCTCCAAAAGTGAAATATGTTTTTCTAGTATGCAAATTGATAAAATGTTTGTTTCTATAAAGGAATTATTGTATTTGAAATATAAAGTGTGGTACAAAAATAATCTTAATAAATTTCCCTGGGGAAAGTCCTCCAGGTGGAAGTGATTTCCGGATTGCATTTCTCCAGAACCTTGTACTCAGAAAGTTTTTTTTTTTTTAATCAGCTTTTAGGGCTCATAATTAGGTACTACTCTGAAGCCTAAAAGCAATCACCATTAACACAAAATGATAAAACAGTAGCTTTTGGAAATATTTAGGCTCCAAAGGAAATGATCCTAAGGATAAAAACCTTATTCAATTATATACATATTTTTCCCACATGCTGATATTTTGCAAATTTTAAAACCAAATTTCTTATATTCCTCAGAAAGAAAATTCGTTACAGTTACGCTTCCAAACTAATGCTTTTTAGGTTTTCCTTGAAATTTCTTAAGATTTAAATTGACCCGCAGCAACTTCAACGGCAAAGATCCCTTTCTTTCCATAATAAACTACCTTCAAACGTATTAATAAGTCCTATAAAACACCAACAACTACCCATACTTCTCCCCACCCAGAATTAATAGAGATTGCATAGTAAATGCCATATCTTATATTGTCTATGGTAAAATGAAAAAAATTATGAATATATATTTCATACCAACATTACCTCTTAAGTCTAACCTTACTTTGTCTTCTCTTTCCAACCTGAAACTTGAAGGATTGTTAGTCTTTTAACATCCTCAAATGATCTTCACAACTCAAAAAATTATCAACGGCGTTAACCCCCTCCCCCAACCATTATCTTATACTATATATTTTTAAAAGTACTTTAAAAGCCCTATACCTTTCTCCTTCATCCGATAGGATTTAAACTCTGAAAACAGAGGTGAGGGGCCAGGGTTAATGCGAAATCTGACGGAAGGGGTGGGGTAGAAGGTTAAGAATTCCTAGTATAACTAAGGAAAGAACCAGAAGGTTGGCGGGCTGAAGAAGACCGTTAGGCACACTACCAGACTAACTGCACGTGAAGGACCCCAGGGGGAGGGGCGTAACCTCTTGCCCTCAAGACCTCTACTGCCCCCAAGCGACTGTAATTTATCCTTACCAATGAGGCGTTGCTCAGCCCCACCCCTAGAATGCACATGGCTCCACCCTGCTGAGAGGCGGGAATAGAAACAGGAAGTGGAATTGCCAGCCTACCAGCCAGGCGCGGGAAGGGTGGAATTTGGGATCAAATCGAAAGTGGAGAGTGTTCTTTTCCGTCTTAAAAGGTGCTCCTAGGGAGTTGGGGAAGGGCTAGGGCTCTAGGAGGCTTCTTTATCTTTTTGGTACATTAGTGGAGAAGTGAAAGCGCCAGTATCAATTGGTAGTTTCCACTACTTGTTTTGTTTTTTTCCTAGTAGCCACTGCCATCCCAGAGTCAGGGAGAGTGTTTTGGCTTTGGGAAGACTCAGAAATCGCCACACTGATTGATATTATTGATTGCGAGCCCTGCCTCCTTGAGAAATTTTTAACCTTGCAGTGAATGCGTCCTCTTCTTTTGAAATTGTTAGGGAATGGTGTGAGAACAGAGACCAGGCAGGAGTTCACCAAAGGTTTTGGGTGGAGCTATAGGTTCTGAATGTAATAGGAAGGCAAACAAGCTTTTGGTAAACTGCACTTCTTTTTTTCCTGAATGTAGGTGACTAGATAAAGTGCTTACCACCAGCTGTTCAAAGTAAAGGTGTGCTTGTTAATTTAATGCCTGAGGAAACTCATATACTTCCGTCAAACTATAAAAGTCATTAGTTATACCTGTGTTCCTCCTACTTAAACAAAATTAGGTCGAGGCTTATGTCCAGCTTTGTGAAGCCCTAAATTGGAGAAGGATGAAGTTGTTTTCCACAATTGAAATGTAATTTCAGGTTTCTGTAATTCCTCTTTACTCTAGGTTTTGGCATTATGGAATAATTTGGTAAATTGATATTTTTCCATTGAATAGAACTTGGCAAAATGACAAAATGTGGATCATGGTTAATTGCTTGACCGTTCACATTAAATGTCTTTTGGCTTTGGCGGAATTAAATTATATATGTCATGCTGAGAATATTGCTAATTTGATATAATGTTCAGTACTGAGTAAAATGGAATAAAATGTGAACCCTTAAGAGGGATACAAAAGGTCATATAATGACAGAGTAGATGATTTAAAAGGGACCACTTTATCACTGCAGTTTAAACACAACAAAAACAATGTAGTTGTACAAGTATCATAAGGTAAGAACATCAGATTATCTGTCAGAAGATCAATATTTAATACCAGTTTCTGTTACAAAACCTGTCAGGGCAACTCATATATCCTTCATCATTCATTGTGGAGTCTATGTACATCATAATAACAGAAATGCCATCCTTATAAAGTTGTGAAATTATAGTGAAATGAAAGGGTCTGCCTAATTGTAAAGTTTTCAAAATGTTGTTTAGTATAAGGAAATAACTTACATTATCTTTTCACCCAGAACATTTAGAGGGATTGGAGCTAAAAACTCTAAAATTGTTTTTGTTGTCTAATAATGTAGGTTGGTGATTTCCAATAATAAGAAAACTGGTTGCTAACTGTCTTTAATTAAAATGTATGCCTACCCAGCATAGTGGTGCAACCCTATAATCCTAGAAGCTAGGGAGGCTAGGGCAGAAGGAATGTGAGTTCAAAGCTAGCCTCAGCAACTTAGCGAGACCCTGTCTCTAATAAAATATAAAAAACCACTGGGGATGTGGTTCGCTGGTAAAGTGGATGGCTCAGTCTCCAGTACCCAAAGAAAATTAAAACTATGCCTGACTATAATTAGAGTTAATGGTACTATAGTACCATCTCAAGAATACTACCTGAAGAAAAGCAACTGCCCTTCAGACTATCAGATGAAGTGAGAAGTTTTGACTCATACCATTTGGCTGTAATTACTTTTCTTAGTTCATCTATGTGAATTCCAGACCTTTTCTTTGGACTATAGAAGACAAGAATGACATATGGACCTAAACTTGTCTTCCATAAATAATTTTAATTGAAACTTAAAGAACACATATTAATTACCTTAATAAAATGCAAAAATTTCATTGTTGTACTGTATAAGGTTAATTATGCCAACATAATTCAGTTACATGTTATTTTTAACTTCTGTCTTTGGACAATTAAACACGCTGAATTTGTCTGTGGGTTTTGGCAAATCTTACTTTAAAGAAATTGATCAAATGGCCAAATTTATTTGTTGTGACATATGCATGTTGGTATTTTACAAGCATTTACTAGCAATAGTTATAAAGGGTGTAGAGAGACTAGAATTAACTATAGAAGTGAAACAATAATAGAAAATATGAGATACTTCCCTAGTCCATGCTGCTGCTTGCTTTTCTCTACATTATTACTCTTCTTCTAGTGAACTCATAATTCATTTTATTGTTAAAATTAGTCAAGTGTGATTCGTTTACAGAAAACTTTCTGTCCTGACTAGTCCTTTATCATCACTGTCAAACCTAGGAATCTAAAAGTACTTTTTCCTACCAGCTTCTACTCTGTTTTTTTCCCCATCTCTTTTGTTTTCCCTCCACCCCAACCTCCCCATTATTGTTGTAATCATGTTTACTTATCTCTTTCATTACACTGAATTCCTAGAAGATAATGTCTTTATCTTCATTTCCTTATTTCTTTACATTGAATTGGGTCTATACTGGGCACAAGATGGGTGAATTACCTTTATTAATAGGTAAAATTATTAAGGCTATGGATCACGGAAAGTTATAAGTTCTGTTTCAAAACTTGAGGAGCTTTTATTCTAGTGGAGCCAGAATACTCATAGGTGGGGATAAATAGAAATGTAATATAGTACATCCTAATTTAAATAAGTGCTTCCTTGCTCTTGTGTTCAGCAGTTATTCCTCAGTTATCTATTTCTAGGTGTCAGTTAAAATGAGGGGGCTTGGCAAATGATTTCTATTGCTCTATTCAATTTTTTCAAAAATATTTATTTTTTAGTTGTAGTTGGACACAATACCTTTATTTTGTTTATTTTTATGTGCTGCTGAAGATCAAACCCAGGGCCTTGCACTTGCCCTGTGAGCACTCTACCGCTGAGCCACACCCCAGCCCTTCTATTCAATTTTGAGATCTGAATGAACAGTAATTCTTTAATTTCACAGACTACTTCCCTGAATCACACAAGGATCAATCATGATGCTGGGGAGTTCAAAAAGGGGAAAGTTGGATATATAGTGTCACTTTCCATCAAATATATGGATAAGTACTTTATTGTATTGGTACTACTAATTTATTCTGGGAAAGCTAATCATGGGACAATTTTATTTCCTCCCTTTTCTTTCCGTTTTTCATAACCTCTACTCTTTTATGAATATAGAGGATTGCATAACCCTGTTGTTGGTACTTGAATGAAATAGTTTATTCCCCACTATATTTGTATAATTTACTCCTGACTATCATTTTTTTCTTTAGAAGCAGAATAAATTCAATTCTATCTTAAAGGAAGGCTTCTTTCTATATACACAAAGAATCTATTGAATCTTGGTTCTTATTTAAGTTTAAGCCAGTACTCTTAAAAGACAGCTAATTTCCATCCCTTGCCTATCAGCACTATAGTTACAAATCAGTTGTATAGAATGCTTTAAAGACAAATTTAAATGCTTGTCATCCTTACTAGCAAGATTGCTCAATTAAGATATGTAATTTAGCAAAATCATGAGGAAATAATTATACTAGCTATTTATTGAAGATTACTATATGCCAGACTTCATGTTGTGGATTACACACACATTATTTCAAATTCTCAAAGCAACAATGGAAGACAAATTGTATTATCTCCACTTTATAGAAGAGGAAATTAAAGCTAAGAAAGCCAAAGAACTTATAAGAATAAAGTAAAGGAATTATACTGATTTTCAGAATCTCTTGTGTTCACTTTCCACAGTGCTTCTAGAACCTATGGTGTAATTCACTTACTGGAATCCTAGGGGTAATGTAGAGCTACTTTTTCATAGGTTAATACTGTGCTTGATATTTTGCTTTAAAAGAGTTGGAAAAATATGAATTTAAGCAATCATATTATACAACATCCTAGCCTAGATTCTCAAGAAGAGAAGTCTGGTTCATAGATATTCCCTATTAAAAGAGATATATGTTTGATTTATATTTTTTAAATTTTTCTGGCAATATCAGGTATTAAAAAGATAATGACTGAGAAATAATAGGATATTGCCCTAGTTTCCTCTCTAGCTAACTATATGAACTGTACACCCACTCATCATGTATATCATAACTTACTGAATTTTTATTCCAAGTAATAATATCTTTTCTGATTTATTAGGTCTAGGTATATTAATATTAGAAAACTGCAAGATGGAAATATGCAAACAGTAAAAGTGGCATCAGTAGAGGAAATAAAGTTATACTTTACATCAAACAGCAGTTATTTAAAGCTGTCATATGGATCCTCAATGATCAGTAAAATGTATTATTTTATAGATTATGCAAAAGAAAAATGTAAATCACTTTTAAAATTTATGTAAGAAAATATAATTTAGGCATTTAAAAAGTGAACCTGGGGGCTGGGATTGTGGCTCAGCGGTAGAGTGCTCGCCTAGCAAAGTGAGACCCTGGGTTCAATCCTTAGCACAATATAAAAATAAATAAATAAAATAAAGTTATTGTGTCTAAATACAATTAAAAAATAAATATTAAAAAAAATGAACCTGAACTTCAGGTTTAAAAATATCTTATGTGGAGTAATGTAGTATGTGAGAATGTTTGTTTTTGTTTTTGTTTTTTGTTTTTTTTTGTAGGGACACCAGTCATATTGGATTAAGGTTCATACCAGTTTTGTTTGTTTACTTTTTTAATTATTTTTTATTGGTTATTCAAAACATTACAAAGATTGCAGAATCACATTGGTTACACACCCACGTTTTTACATAATGCCAT